CCTGAGTCAATCTTCAGTAATGAGGCAAGGAAAAAAAGCTAAAATAGAACAACTTAAATAACCCCCCATGGGGCACTGAAGTAAAACACTGTTTAAAATCCTTAGACTAATAAACAGTAAGAGTTCACGAATTGATTTTTTTCTTAGAAAAAAAGAATTAACAAAACTGACTCAAGAAGAACCAGAAAAGTTGCACAAACCAATAATTATGGAGAAGGGGGTGTGGACTAGAGAAGTCATCAAAGAATTATTCAAATGAAGATGCCAGGCCTGGTTGGTTTCATGTCTGGGCTCTTTCCTGCACTCACAGAACAGATAATTCCCATGTTGCAATCTGTTCCCAAAGTTGGAAAGTGCTTCTAGTCACTTTAGAAAATTAGCCCTAAGCAAGGCAGGGGGAGCACATGCCTATAAGCCTGGCACTAAGGAGGCTGAAACAGGGGGATTGCTGCAATTCTAAGACAATCCTGGGCTACATAATAAGTTGGGCCTTGATGGGAGACCCTACTTTTTAAAAAAATTAATAAAAATAACTTTTAGAATAGCTTAATTTTTAAAATTGACAAAAACAGAAGAGCAAAACCACGGATGTCACTAAGAATACTGATGGAAAATTCCTAAACCGACTATTAGTAAGGGAATCTAACCAAAATTTCCAGGAATAATCTACCTTGAGCACTTAAATATAGTCTAGAAAGTTTATACAAAAAACTAAAGAAGAAAGCTCATAGCCCATTGTGGTAGCTGGCACATACATGCATTCACACACACACTCCTCTCTCTTCCTCTCTCCCTCTCCCTCTCTCTCTCTCTCTCTCTCTCTCTCTCTCTCTCTCTCTCAATATTTAAATGAAGCAAATGGGGTTTCAGAGATTAGGAACACTTTGATGCTTTTTTTTAAGATTTATTTTTTATTTATTATGTATACAGTGTTCTGCCTGCATGTTTCCCTGCAAGCCAGAAGATGGCACCAGATCGCATTACAAATGGCTGTGAGCTGCCATATGGTTGCCAGGAATTGAACTCAGGACCTCTGGAAGAGCAGTCAGTGCTCATAACCTCTGAGCCATTTCTCCAGTCCCACTATGATGCTCTTGCAGGGAACTAGAGCTTGGTTTTCATCACTCACATTAGGCAGCTCACAACTTCCTGTAACTCTAGCTCCTAGAGGTTGAATGGCTCTTCTAGCCTCTGAGAGCACCCACACGCACATGTACACACACACACACACACACACACACACACCACATACATGTGCACATACACACACAGACACATAATACACATACATGTACACATACACACACAGACACATAACACACATACATGTGCACATACACACATAGTGCACATAAATAAAACTTTATTTTCTTTTTATTTTTGTGTTTTCTATGATTTCCTGTAATCTAGGCTATCCTTGAACTCCTGATCCTCCTGAATGCTGGGATTACCTGTGTGCATCACCACAGTGGTTCTCAACCTGTGTTTGTAACACCTTTGGGGGTTGAACGACCCTTTCACAGGGGCCGCATATCAGATATCCTACATATCAGATATTTACAATTCATAACAGCAGCAAAATTAGTTATAAACTAGCAACAAAAATCATTTTATAGCCAGGCGGTGGTGGAGCACGCCTTTAATCCCAGCACTCGGGAGGCAGAGGCAGGTGGATCTCTGTGAGTTCGAGACCAGCCTGGTCTACAGAGCGAGTGCCAGGATATCCTCCGAAGTCACAGAGAAAACCCTGTCTCGAAAAAACAATAAATAAATAAATAAATAAATAAATAAATAAATAAAAGAATTTTATGGTTGGGGTCAGTACAACATGAGGAATTTTATTAAAGGATCATAGCATTAGGACAATTTTATCAAAAGAGAAAACTTCAGGGCCAATAAGCCTCAAATCTTGGCAGCTGTCAAAAGGAGGGAGCTAGGGAAGAGCAAAGCCCTGCCTTGTGAGCAAGGGTCTGAGCAAGTTGTTATGTTCAACACAGGAGGCTGTCAAGCAGCTCCACTGGCAGGAAGGGGAAGCTTCAGAGATAGACTGAAAAAAGCATGCTTAGGCTTCTGGGGGAATATACGAGAGATAAAAGAAAAAAGTTATACTTTTCTGACTTAGAACTTAAAAAAAAAGGGGGGGTGGCCGTATAGTAGCAGCCACAAAAATAAACATAGTTCCAGGACAGACCCTTCCTCAATAAGCAGATAGATAGATAGATAGATAGATAGATAGATAGATAGATAGATAGATAGATAAAATCTGCTGTATGCCATGGTACAATAGAAACTAGATACCTAGCCATTACTGATGTGAAGATAAACTGATAAAATTTTTTGGCAACATTATGTCCATAATCTTGAAAAACGTTTAAACCTAGCAACTCATATTCAGTAACTTACCTTGAGTAAACTTTCAGCCACGAGCAGGGAGACTGATAAACTTGTGAAACAGCATGGCTTTTTCAGCCTGCCAAATACTTGAAAACTAGTCAAATGCTTAACCTTAACTTTCACATGGCTGCATAACAGAGTTATCAAAATTTGGATTTTAGAAAAATAATTAAAGATATAGTGACCTCTGCAAGCTCCTACATACACATGGAGCACATATATACACTCAATCACACACACACATACAATAGATCAATTTTTTAAAAAGGAATTAAGAGGCAGGGGAAATCGAGAATTGAAGTCAGCCTGGGCTTCACAGGGAGGCCATGTTTCAGAAAAGCAATACATAAATAAAGATATATTGACACATCTTGAAGAGTTTGAAGAGTCAAAAGCATGATGCAAAGCATACAGAACACGTTCCTGTATGACCTGAATTTTGAGTCCCCTGGAACTAGAATTACAGACAGTTCTGATTGCCATGTGGGTGCTGGGAACTGAACCCAGGTCCTGTGTAAGAACAACAAAAGCTCTATAACCACTGAGATATCCCTCCAGCTCTATAATCATCAGCTGAAGTATGGAGTTGGCAAGGCGGCTCCCTGAGTAAAAAGTACTTGCTACACAGGCCTGAAAACCTGATTCAATGCCAGGTAAAGTTAGAAAGAGAGAAGTGACTCCATAAAGCTGTCCTCTAACAGACACATGCAGTATGGGATGGGCATGCGCCACACACACACGCACGCACGCACGCACGCACGCACGCACGCACGCACACACACACAACACAACAAATAAATAACTTTCAAAGCACTATAAAAATGAAGTATTCTATTGCCCCTATAAGTGTAACTCAGTGGTAGAGCACCTACCTAGCATGCCCATGTTCCTAGTTCTTTGCCAGCACCATAAATAAATAAATAAATAAATAAATAAATAAATAAATAAAATCATGCCAATACAATAAAATCATGCCTGTACAAATGAAAATAGAAAGAAAAGGTTACTTGTATTGGCACTAAACTTTCTTTTTCTTTTTTTTTTGGGGGGGTGGGTTGTGAGACAGGGTTTCTCTGTGCAGGCTTGGCTGTCCTGGAACTCACTCTGTAAACCAAGACCAAGTTGACCTCTAACTCAGAGACTCGCTTGCCTCTGCCTCCTAAGTAATGGGAATAAGACATATGGCACCACCGCCTGGCTGGCACTACACGTTTCCTAAAGATCTGTGGATTTAAAATTTTTTAATTATGTGTATGTGTTTGTATATGTACATGTGAGTACAGGAAAGGAGGCCAGAGGAAGGTACAGAGCTAGAATTACAGGCAATTGTGAGCTGCCCAAAATAAGCACTGGGAACTGAATTCAGGTCCTCTGCAAGCACAGTATGAGCTCTTTAACCCGAGTCATGTCTCTAGCTCTCCACCTTTATTCTCTTAAAGTACATTTAAGCAGCACACACACACACACACACACACACACACACACACACACAGAGTCATGAAGACCTGCATTGGATCCCCAGACCCACGTGAAAAAATAGGCACAGTGCACAAGCCTATAATGCTGACTGGGCAGGCAGAGACGGGAGGATCTCAGGGGCTTGATGGCCAGCCAGCCTAACCTTAGTCTCAGGGAATGACTGTCGCAAAAAAACATGGTTAATAGTATCTTATAAACGATACTTGTGATTAACCTATGACCACCACATGTATGCATATATATGAGCACACACACACACATAGAAAAGGTCAAATGACAAAACAACCAAAATGAAGACATGTCCCTGGTCCTAAACGATCCTTCACTGTGTTGCTGTGAGCCTAGCAGAATGGAACAGAGAGAGCACAGGAGGAACTGAAACCCCCCAAGCAGCCCCCAAGGAAGGACAGACTCTGAAGAAAAGGACTCAAGCTGCTGTAGTTAAAACCATAAGCCTCAACCTCCCCCACCCACCCCCACCCCTGCTCCTATGTCTCGCTTAGGCTAAGTCCACTTTCAAAAAATATTTTCTCAACAGTAGGCACCAGGAGAAAAAAGGAGCCTTTCTTCCTACAGCATTTGGCTGCCACATATGGTACTGCTCTGAATAGAGGCTTTATGAGGGAGGGTCCACAGCCCACAGGCATGGGTTAGGCCACTGGCCACAAACAGCAAGGAACAGACCTGAGGATTTATATGTCCGGGCAGCAGAGGCACACTCGATAATTTAGATGGAGCTGCTGTCACATCCCAACAGGCATTAAGGCCTACTGAGTGTCTAAGAGACCTAGGCACCAACTTTAACTCTATCCCAAACATAGAACTCACACATACGCACACAGCGCCTTTGTTCTGTTCCAGGTCTCAGACGTGAAAAGCAATGATTTCAGTTGGAGGTATTTGACAGCTTAATTCAATATATCATGTGTCTCCTGAGTGAGAAAGAGGGTAGAAGCAGAGCCTCCATCCCTGAGGAACAATTAGGGGACACAACCCATGGACCATGCATGCTAAACCCTGCCTTCCTCAAACTCTGTAAGTGGTCTGTAAGGGGCAGAAAGAAGCACTATGGTCAACCCCAGGACTGCCTGCCATACCCTCCCTGAGCACAGATGAATCATACATACTTTTGCCGCCATTGTTCTTCAGGACATTGGAGAGATTGACAGAGGCAGTGCCTAGTAGTTCATTTCTCAAGGTATGACAGCTCCAGACCTTCAGATCTAAATGACTCTGGGCTGTGACATTCCTGGAAAACAAATAAGTGATTCATCACAGCCCAGCAGATAAGCCAGTCACCCCTTTAACATGAAACAAACTACGAAAAGTTACATTGCTAACATCTTGCAGGGGACAAAACAGGAAGGCAGTCACATTCACACCTCACACACTGACCTGTAACCCCCTAGCTAACAATGAGTGCTCTGTGAGCTCAATGAGACAGATACAAACACACAGAGAGGAGCACCATGGGGGCCAAGGGCAGCAGAGCCTGCCACCCCAGCCTTCTCTCCACCCCAGCCTCCTGCATCCTAAAAATGATGCCCTTACAGAACGATGATTTCATTCCAGAGAAGCTCAGAGCTCCCGATGCGCTTCCCGGTCTTCTTGGTCTCACTGGGGAGCCCATCTACTGCCACCTCCACGTAGGAGTTGATTCTTGGCTGGCGGTTGTGCACCTTGGGCTTTGCTGACACCACTGGAAGAAACAAAGAAAAAACAAATGAGTCAAAGAACTCCTATATGTCCCCTGGCTCCTTTTGGTTATTTCCTAAAGATCTTTTTGTTTTGTCCTCTTAAATACTTTTGAAGAATTACATAGTGATAGTTCAGGCAGGACAATGTTTTCTGGGAATACCCAAAAACCTCATTTCCATACCCAGTACCCATGTAAAAGGCCAGGTGTGGCATGGCAGTAATGCTTGTAATCCCACAGACAGGCCGATCCCCTGGGGTCAACTGTCAGCCAGGCTGGCCTAATTGGCAAGTCTCAGGTTCTGGCAAGAGATGCTGTCTCAAATAACAAGGTGCCTGAATAATGACACCCAAGGTTGTCCTCTGACCGCCACATGCATGTGTACACAAACACAAACACACAAAATAAAAGTTTAAAATAAGAAACAAAAAAGGGCATAAACAAAAAAAAAAGAAGAAGAAAATAAAGAAGTGTGGACATATAAACAATCTGAAGGGAAAAAAAAAATCACTCCTGGCCTAAAAACACATGAAATAGCAAAGTGCTTTGCCTGCTACCCACAAATCAACTTTTAAATGACTGTCAAAAAATCCACTGCACAGCAGTGCTAACTTTTTACATTGTTTAGATGAATGCAGTTCTTGGCTCTGGGACAGTTAGCAGGAGTGCAGTTCCCAGGCATGGCTGAGCATCCTCAGAGTAGCTGACTTTCCCTCTGAGAGCTTCAGGGTGGGGAGGTCCTCTGGAAGCAGGTACAGAATCCCTGTAGTGTTCTGAGTACCACCATTTGACCACACTGCAAAGGTGAGTGCTGTTTCCCCACTCTTTGCAAACCACACAGATTTTTAAAAATACCCTAAAGATAATTACTAAGTTTCAACACTTACTGCAGACACTGCAAAACACACATCATCGGACTAAAGCCTCACAACAAACTCAGGAAGTGGGGAATATACTATTATTCTAATTGTGACAGGAGGAAATAGGCTTGAAAAGAGAGATCACTAGCTGGGTATGGGAACACATACCTGCAATCCCAACTGCTAGAAGAAGCAGAGTTGCTGCAAGTTCAAGGCTGGCCTGGTCTACATGAGTTACTACTCCCCCCCCCCAAAAAAAAAAAAAAAAAAAAGCCAGACAAAGCCACTCAGGCCTATAATCCCACCAACTTGAGAGGTTAAAATATGGATGGTCATATTGAGATCAAAAGTCTACCCTGGGGCTGGGCAGTGGTGACACAAGCCTTTGATCCCAGCACTCTGGAGGCAGAGGCAAGTGGATCTCTGTGAGTTCAAGGTCAGCCTGTTCTACAGAGCAAGTTCCAGGACAGCCTCCAAAGCTACAGAGAAACCATGTCTTGAAAAACCAAAAGAAAAAAAAGTCCACCCTGGGCTACTGAGTTCTAGGTCAGCCTGGTGTGTAACATACCTGTGTGTGTGTGTGTGTGTGTGTGTGTGTGTGTGTGTGTGTGTAGGGGGGGAGCTATGAGCCAGAATGTGTCCCCAGCAGGCTGACTCCACCCCAGCTATATGCCATTCCTGGGCTTTGACACTTTTTTTGGATGGCAGTAAGACTGAACACATTCCATGATGGTAAGCCACCTGTATCGCCTATTCAGTTCACAACCTTTATATAAATCAATCCCAATTAATCTCACAATCCTCGCCTCTCTCCTCTCATTTTGGTTTTCTTTTGTTTGTTTCCTACATAGCATCTTGCTGTGTAGCCCAGACTGACTTGAACTTACCACGTAGCTGAAATGGTCTCTGCATTCTGAGTACTGAGAATACAGGCTATCTAGCACACAGCAGCCCCTATGACAGTCATTTGTCACCAACAAACTGGTAAAAACACACATTCATAAAGCCAACGCGTATCATATCCCATGGGCACCTATCCTACAGCATTAGTGACTCACAGCAGGAACTCCGGGGTGATCAGAAGAAGCACATCTAGACCCCTGTGCCTGAATCAGAAGATAACCAATACTCCTCACCCATAATGACAAGACTAACCTCCATGAGGTCCCCTCTATTAACAGTAAGGGACCTCATGGTCCTTCCCAAACCCCTCAGGGAGGTGACAAGTCCCATAAAGGTCTGCAGCTTGGCAAAGGTCATAGCCACCCCCAGGCTGTTTGAAGCAGTAACTATGCCAAACCCCAAAGCAACAGTAGGGAGGACATAAGAAAAAAACAAAGAAACATTGTGAGGTTAAGAGTCAAGCAACAGGGATGGGATTGAGAATAAAGGTTTATCACAAATTTAAGACTAAGTGCAACATGTACCACTTTACACCTATATCAAGGCTACGAGGCCACCTGGTGGTGAGATAGGAGCACTGCATACCTTAGCTTTAAAAATAGGGACAAGTTCAATAAGTAAGTTCAAGGCCTACACAGTGAGTTCCAGACCAGACCAGTCGGACTATGTAGTGAAACCCTGACTCAAAAAAGGGGGGCTGGATGGGCTGGAGAGATGGCTCAGTAGTTAAGAGGACTGACTGTTCTTCCAGAGGACCCAGGTTCAATTCCTAGCACCCACATGGCAGCTCACAACTATCTATAACTCCAATTCCAGGGGATTTGAACCTTCACACCAATGCATTTAAAATAAAGTTAAATAATTTTTTAAAAATAGCAACATTTAAAAAGGGGTAGGGGGCTGCAGAGATGGCTCTTGCAAAGGACCTGAATCCAGTCCCCAGCACCCATGTAGCAGCTCATAACCATCTGTATCTCTAATTCCTGGGAGCTGATGCTGTCTTCTAGTCTCCACAGGTACCAGACATGAATGTGGAAAACATACATATATACAGACAAATGCTCATACTCATAAAATAAAAATAAATCAATTTGCCTCCGTCTCTGGAGTTCTGGGATTATGGGCATGCGCCACAACACCCAATTTATTCAGTAGGACTGACCCCAGGGCTTCATGCATGCTAGGCAAACTCTACCAACTGAGCTACATTTCCCAAGACACACTGGCAAAAATCTGGGGCCCTGGGATTAATCTCTAAGTACTTTTAATGTAAGTTTTTGGTGTTAAACAATTACAACGTTGAAAGGAATAAAGTGGGAATGGACAGATTTGAGGAAGTTAGCAAGACATGGCTATAGATCAGGGAAGGGAGATTACCCAGTAAAGCACGAAGCAAGCAAAAAGCAGTTCACTCAGAGACGGCGAGGGCAAAGGCCCAGAGGCAGAGGCCTGCCATGTGAGTTCAGTGTAGAACCAAGAAGCCAGATGACTCAGGAAAGTAATACAGAAGGTAATAGAACACACATGAAAAAACAGTGGCCATCAGCTTTTACTCTGAAACGCAGGGTTCTTGGTGACTTACATTGTAACAGGACTACTGTCTGCTGTGTGACCACAGCCTCAAAGAAGGAAGACAAAGGACAGAATGCAAGAAGCGGGTCTGCAGACCTCAACCCAGAACAGAGTGCCATTGGCTAAGGATGGGCAAGACCGGGAGTGGGGAGAAGTGCTGAGCACCAGATGCCGGCTTCACTGCTAGGTTAATGCAGCTATGAGAAGAGAAAGTCTGGAGCACGGTTCCAGACACGGGCACTTTTCTGTGTCACTAATGGGATGGCAATCAGCTACTAGACACACAAGTCAGGAGTTCCAAGGAAGGTCTGGGGTGCAGACAGCAATCTGAGAGTGATATTTTACTGGAGGCATTTAAAGCCATGAGGCTAGATGGGACCACCTAGACCATTAATGTACAGAGGGGGAGCCCAAGACACAATCTCAGGTCATTCTTGCTCAAAGTTCCATTGTTTTTCCCTTTCCCATTATTTGCCTTCTTTTCCAAGAACTCTAGTTATAATGTGATAATCTTTTGAGAACAAATGCTTCAGGAGACCTGGTTCTCTAGACAGATGTGCCTCAAATACTTCATTCAGTGCCACTCACCTTTCAGGGTGAGCTGCGACTTCTCAAAAGGCAGGGCCACTCCTGCCCGGCTGGAGCTGGCAGATGCCATGTCATCACCATGGAACTGCGAGGGAAGCAGAGTGAGGGTAGAGAATGTTAGGCAATGGCTGAGAAGGAGACTAAAGAACTCAACCCAATGGACTGGACAAATGGCTCAGAGGTTAGGAACATTTGTGGCCCTTGCAGAGGACCCGGGTTCAATTCCCAGAGTCTACATGGTAATTCACAACCATGTATAATTCCAGTTCTAAGGGATCTGATGCCTTCTTCTCACCTCCAAGGCCACCAGGCATGAACACAGTTTGCAGACATACACACAGGCAAAATACTCATCCACATAAAATAACATATATAAATCTTAAAAAAGTAAAAAAGAGGGCTGGGCATTGATGGTGCACACCTTTAATCCCAGCACTCAGGAGGCAGAGGCAGGCAGGTCTCTGTGAGTTAGAGACCAGCCAGGTCTACAAGAGCTAGTTCCTGGACAGCCTCCAAAGCCACAGAGAAACCCTGTCTTGAAAAAACAAAAATAAATAAATAAATAAATAAATGAAAAACTCAACCCCAGGATGGCTATAGCGGCACATGCCTACAAGTGCTTATAAACTCAGCACTTGCAAGGTGGAGGCAGGAGGATCAGATCAAGGTCATTCTCAGCTATATACTGAATTCAAAGCCAGCCTAGTCTACATAGTGAGTCCCAGGACAGCCAGGGCTACATAATAGATCTCGTCTCCCAAAAGTATAAATAAATAACAAGCCAATAAATCCAGCTTTTTTATGGGTCTGTTGAACCTAAAGTTCTGATTGAACATTTCTCCAATGATCCCAAGCAGCTAATAAAGCCATGAAAAAAAAAATGTTTGATACCACCCATGAGGTGTCCCTGTCACTCCTGGGGGCTGGACATAGAAGTTCACTTGAAACACAACTTGTACTCAAAAGTAATTTTTAGAACATCATCATTTTTCATTTAGAAAATATTGGTTCTTTGAGCTGTATAGGTATTCTAAACCTTAACACACTTCATGATACAACATTAGAAAACACATGCACACACACACACACACACACACACACACACACACACACACACACTTGTGAATGTCATTGGTGATCTCCTCAGACAGGTGTCCAAACAGCAGAAAGCTGTCAAGCCTGTTGTGGCAGAGTGGCCCAAAATCCTAATTTTCTTGTAAGAATGATTTTGTTCTGGCAACAAATTCTGTCAGTTGTTTTCCTTAGAGTTTCAGGTTTGCTTCATTCAGTTTGAAGAAAATGTCTGCCAATTTCTCAAATCTAGTAACTTCAATTTGTTTCTCAGTTGTTTTCTGAAGGAAAAATGGTTATGGGGGGGTGGGCAAGCAACAATTTAGCTCTAGTTTCTAGAACTGCTCAAGTGCTTGCTTGTCTTCAGCAGTTATTACAGCTCACCATGCAGCAGATACACACTTGAACAAAGAGAATATAAAAAGACTCACTCAAGAGTCAGATGGGTTGGCAAGATAGCTCAGCAGGTGTGACACACACAAGCCTGGAGACCTGAGTACAGTCTGTGAAACCCACACAGTAAGAGGAGAGAACCATCTTCACTGACCACTGACCTCCACATGAGCCATGGCATGCACACACACACACACACACACACACACACACACACACACACGGACAATATTGATAATAAATAGGAGCTGGTGAGATGGCTCAGCTGTTAAGAGCATGTCCTGCTCTACTGAATTCAGTTCCCCGTAACTCACAACTGCCTACAACTTCAACTCCAGGGGATCCACACTTGTGACTTCTGCAGGCTTCTGCAGGCACCTGCACAAACATGCACAGACATGCACATACACATAAATGCAAACTTTTTAAGTATAAAAACATAGTGAATTTTTTAAATTTTATTTTTGGAGACAGGATTTGTCTATGTAGCTTTGGAGCCTGTCTTAGAATTTGCTCTGGAGACCAGGCTGGCCTCTAACTCACAGAGATCCACCTGCCTCTGCCACCCAGTGCTGGGATTAACAGTGTGCACCACCACAGTCAGCTCATTCAAGTATGCTGTGTTCCTTTCTACCAAGACTGTGTGGTGATGGAGAACATGAAGACAACAGCACTCTTGGCTGTACCACCAAGGGCTTGCTTGACTGGTGATCACAGTGAGACAGTGAGTGATGAACAAGTGTTGTTTTAGTTTTGATGATGCAGTCTCAGAGACGTCTGGATATCTGAGGATCACACTTGAAACTGCTGCTATAAAAGCAGTGTACAGGCTGAGAAGAGTGGTGCACAAATGAAATTCTAGAACTTGAAAGGCAGGAGGACTACTGTGAGTTCAAGGTCAGCTTGGGCTACACAGTAAGACTTAGCTTCAAAAACAAAACACTGTATGGGTTGCATGTGGTAGCACACACTTATAATTCTACCAGCACTCCAGAGGCTGAGGCAAAAAGGTCAGAAGTTCAAGGCTAGCCAAGACTAAAAAATATAATTCTACCAGCACTCCAGAGGCTGAGGCAAAAAGGTCAGAAGTTCAAGGCTAGCCAAGACTAAAAAAAAAAAAAAAAATCAACCCAGAGCTGTACTCATGACAGCAAAGTCCTCTATCCGAGCTACACCTCTGACCTTGGACTGGTCTTTACAGATATTCTGCCTCTTGTGGAAACCTCAAGAATGCTCCTTAGAGAAAAAAAAACAGTATAGTATTCTGCAGATCTATTCTACAAGATCCCAGGAGACCTTGTTACCAGCTACAAGGATGATTCTCAGTCCTTTCTGTTGTGTTCAACAAGAGAGGGACCCCAAGGCTTCAAGGAGCATAATGACACCCGAATGCAAGTACAAGAAGGTTTGTTTATTTCCAAGGAAAAACCAGCTAGCTGGGGCTTCATTCTGTCGAGAGAGATGAAGCCCGGAACCACAAATGCAAGGTATTTTTAAAGAGCAAAAGGGGAAGTCAAAAAAAGGGGAAGGGGGACATGAGACCCATGATCTCATGTCTCAAAGTTCCAAGCAAAGTTACAAAGTTATACAAGATTATACAAAGTTATACAAGGTATCACAAGATAATAGGTATTAAGCAAAGAAGCTATAACTGTCATTTGTTTTAGGTGGGGGCTGATTAACTGGTCCTGTGATCTGGGGGATTTATGACTGGCAGATTTTTTTTTTTTTTTGCTTAGTTAGGGTATTTTTAATTTCTTTAGGGTCTTTTTTTATGCAAACAGCAAGAGGCTTTATTGCAGTTGTTTAACAAGCTAACCCCACGTTAGCTTGGACCTTTCATCCATCCACCATGGCAGATGGCTAGAAAAGATATTTAATTTCTTTATTACACCTTCCACATGTCTGTGCAGACAGCACCAAACACAACTGAGTGCTCTCATCTCTGAAATGATAGCTTCTAGAACCCCACAACTTTCTTTGGGTTTTCTGCCTTTTCAAATTGTGATGTGTTTCCAAATGGGATGCTACACCACCCTTGAAAGATGGGAATCCAGTTCACATGCACAATTCCTTAACAGGGTGAGGGGAGCGGGAGGGAGGAGGGAAGAGGTGAGGAGAGAAAGAAAGAAAGAAGGACATGCAGTCTAAGTACAGTACAATGCCCTTGGTGAACACTTGAACTTACACAGAACTGTGTCACAGGAGACACACAAGTGTAAGGAAACATGACAGCACAGAAAGGAAGGGGCCACCTGAGGCCAAAACAGAAGTTCCCTCTTTACAGGACAAAAGGCAGGGAGCAGGGAAATTAGGAAAAGGAGACCGAGAAACTTTAACTGTATGTGCAACATTTTATCTTTGTTTTTTGAGACAAGGTTTCTCTGTATAGCTTTGGAGGCTGTCCTGGCACTCACTCAGTAGACGAGGTTGGTCTCAAACTCACAGAGATCTGCCTACCTCTGCCTCCGGAGTGTGTTTTTTTAAGACTATTATGTATACAATGTTCTGTCTGCATGTATGCCCGCAGGCCAGAAGAGGGCACCAGATCTCATTATATATGGTTGTGAGCCACCATGTGGTTGCTGGGAATTAAACTCAGGACCTCTGGAAGAACAGTCAGTGCTCTTAACCACTAAGCCATCTCTCCCATTTTACCTTTTAATATATGTATAGATAACATATATTAGATGTTTATATGTAGCAGCAGTTTGCCTGTGTGTATATATGTACACCATGTGCTTGCCTGGTGCCCATGGAGGCCAGAAGGCTTCCAATTCGCTGGAACTGGAGTTATGGGTAGTTGTGAATCATGTGGATGCTGGAAACTGAACCTGGGTCATCTGGAGAAGCAACCAGTGCTCTTAACCACTGAGTCCTCTCTCCATCCCCCAAATTTATCTGGGTCTCTAAACCATTTTGTAAGCTTGACCTTTTTTCTAAGTGAACAATTTTCAGGAGGAAATGGCAGTACACTGAATCATTATAAATCAGGCCCTGGGGTCAGTGCTCTAACAAGACTAAGGCACTAAAAGTTGGAAACCACTATTTATAGACTTTAAAAACAAAAGACTGGGGTTGGAGAGATGGCTCAGAGGTTAAGAGCACTGACTGCTCTTCCAGAGGTCCTGAGTTCAATTCCCAGCAACCACATGGTAGCTCACAACCATCTGTTATGAGATCTGGTGCCCTTGTGTGCATATATACATGGAAGCAGAATGTTGTATACATAATAAATAAATAAAATCTTTAAAAAAAAAGATTTTTTAAAAATCTAGATGTCTTTTGGGGTTCTCTCTTCCCTAAGGCAACTGAAGTAAAGGTAGCTTTAGAACCAGCTTGTTCTCTGGAGCTTTAGACTTTGGTCCAAACTTCTAGACAATGAAACTTGGAGAAGCCACATGACTTTGTTGAGGAGAAAAACTAAGTATCTTGAGTTACAACTAACAGCCCCAAAACAAAACCAAGGACAAATGCTAAAGAAAACTCAGAAAGAAGAAAGCCAGCTGAGAACGGAGGAGAAATTAGGGCCCCAAACTCTATAACGCCTTCTCTCTTCAGTCATGCATAATTACAGTCTGCCATTTATGAACACTGATCTGTTATTATGTGAGTTTTGTCTGTAGTTCCAGATCCAATTAGCCAGGTACCACCTGACCATTACAAGGTA